TTTCCTCCAAAAAAGACTTTTTAGGTAAACTTTGTTTTAAAAATAAATTCCAACTGAATGGGAGAATTTCCAAATGATGTCCTGCTAAACAATAACTGAGTATCTTTGAGACTGAGATCTGAAACTTGCTGCCAGAGAACACGTAGAAGTTTCTTTATAGGTAATTATGCTCTGGACAGTGCTCTTTTTCCCCACAGTCTTATGTACTCAGACTGAAATGTGAAGATTACTGTATTATGTAAATTACGACTCAGGATATTTAATTGGCATGAATTTTAATTTTTAATTCACAGTAGGTTATTAAAGCCTTTGATTATTTCCAGTGCTTTTTGAAAACATATTAATTAAAAAATCCTCTTTTTAGCTTTCCATAGCAGATTCAAACGAGTAAGCAAAGTATCTCTCTTAATGTAAGATGTTACTTTTGGAAAGAGACTTATATTCTGTAGGTCTAGAACTTGACAGGCACTCCAGTCTATTTCTACTTGGTAAGTTACATTAGCTTTGTGGTTTCTTTTTAGGGAGATATTTGCCTCCTTGTCAAAAATTCTTGTACTGCTCCCATCATGAATCCAAATAAGTTCAAACTTCTTTAGTAATGAAGTGCTTGAAGGCTGAACAGCTTCTTTTTTTATGAATAGCTTTTGAACTTACTGTGTTTGGTGTTCTTAGAGGGTATCATTTTTAGTGTTTACAGTGGCTATTTTGACCTTAACCTAGTATTTTTGCTTTGTTACGTAGGTTTTATTGTGTGCTTTTTCCTATAGTAGCATGATTTATGACAGGGTAAGATAGAGCACATGAGGCTTTTCCAAGACTTTTTAAGTACCCACCTCTGGCCTTCTGGCTTGTTAATGCTTCATTGCCAAAATGTATCATTTTCTTTTATAATTTCCTTCTTAGTTTTTAAGATCTTTTATAAGGAGAATTAAGACAAAACAGTTGTACATATTCTAAATGTGCTTCAAAATTCTAGCCTATTAATAATTATTAAGTTTTGATCAAATTTTCATTTGGTCACAGAAAGTTATAGATTCTAAGTGTGCATAGTCTTTGTGCATAAGTTGAACTCATGGTCTTAAAATTTGCCTAAAAGACTTATCCAAAGTACTTTTAATTTGTCTGGTAGACATTTATTGAGCACTGCTTTTACAAACCAAAAACCACTATGGTCTCAAAACCCTAAAGCATTTGTGATTTACTGGAGGATGGAAATGGGTGTGGAAAAGATAAGAATTAATTCAAATCAGTAAATTACAAACAATGCTCTGGGAAGCATAGAGAGGAACAGTTCCATGCTGTCTGAGTAACATGGGATATTTTGCCACAGAACATAACATTTGATACAAACCTTGAAGGACAAGAATATATTCACAGATGGAAAAAAGGAGAAACAAATGCAAGGAAATGGAACAGCATGAGTGAGAAAAGTATCTATTGATAGTTATGAATTTGATATAGCTATTACTTTCAATCATAAGATCTGTTTACCCATGATGCTCAATACTAACTCTACCCAGGAAATTACTCCTTTCAGTTAAATGATCTATTTACTCAGCATCCTCAGTCTTCAGTCCAAACGCATTGAAACTATTGGGTTAAGTTACCCTGTAGTCATAACTTGAGAATAAACAAAATGGATAAAAAGCTATTCTCCAGTGGTGATAATGATCCCAATGGAATGATCACATTTGACTCATCTATGTATGTTAATAAATTTAATGAATGAGTAATTTCCAAACCACTTATCTAATAAAAATTTTGAGGCCCTATTTAATGAAAATACTGAAATTACAGAAAAGCAAAGCTCTGGTTGCTATTATGTAAATAAGAGCAAATAGGTAGAACACCTGTAATAAAGGCCTCAAACTTTAGAAGAAATGCTTGTGTGTACCTATGCACACCAATATTAAAGGAATGTAGAATTATAGGAGCCAGCTAACCTTACTGAGTGAGGCAATATCTCTGAGTAGCAGTTTAAAAGAGAAACTCGTGGTTTATCCACGAAATAATACCCTGGTGTTCATTCACTGGGAAAGACATTTTTTTTTTCTTTGAGTGACTCTCATGGGCCTTGTTAGCTCATAGCAACATCTAGGTTTATGCTCTTTCCATGGTTGAAAAGTGTCTATTGTTCTTTCTAAATAATTGCCTTTGGTTTTTGCACATCTATGCAATAATCTTTAATGCACTTAGCTTCAGAAACAGAGTAAAAAAGAACTCTACATAAAAGAAAAAGATTTGTTAAGAACACTTATGAATTGTCTTTGGTATAGAACATTACAAATATCCACTAAAATGCTTAAAAAGTAATTCATACTCATGTTAAAAATCTACGGTTGGGGTTGAAAAGTCAATTGACTTATTTTTAACCAATTATTCTATTATATTTCAAAACTGTCATTTTAAGTCAATCCTTTTTATGGAGAGTTCTCTAATTGTAACTGATTAATAAATTTTATTTTTTAAAATATATTAAGACTTATTTATATTTCCTTTCGAAGTATTTAGGGCGTATCATTTTCTTATGTTTTCTGTACCTTCCTAGTTAGTGGAAACATTGTTTGTTCTTGGAGTGTGCTTTGTCTTCCTTTTCAAGAAGATCATCAAAGTTACTAGTTTGCAGCTCCCAAAAAGAAAAGAGCCTTCTAATCCCTGATTCAGAGGCTAACCTTTATTAGCGCTCTTGTGGTTATAATGAGGACCCTGCTTCCAGCAGGGAGATTCTAGAATACTGAACAGATTATTCAACAAGTTCAGAGCAGATTCTGAGGTCCCTTATAAAACCTGCTTGTGAATACTGCTTTCTTTGCTTTGCTATTTCTGGTTTCCATAGTATTCCTAATTACATAAATCATGTGGAGCATGGGAGCTATTTTCCATCCTATATCAGTTCTGACACTGCTTGCATTTTGATATAATTTGTATTTTTTCCTAAGCTATATATATATATATTTTTTTTTTTCCTTAAATTCTTATTTAAGGGGACATAAACTCTGCAAAAAGTAGAACTTGTATTAGAAGATCTATGAAATCATACCTTGGAATTCCTTGGACTGAAATAAAGAATTTGAAAGTTACTTTGTGGCAAGCAAGGATGAATAAGGTTATAAAACTAGAGAATCTGAGAACGTGTTCTCAGGTTTAAATTCAAGATTAAATCTAGGATGTAGATCATTCAAGTTTATTACCCACTTCCCAATTTACTTAAAATTATTTCAACTTAATAGCTATTTATGTAATGCCTTTCCATGTTCAAAAACTGTAATAGGTTCAATGAGTGTACCAAATTAAAAGTTTACAAATTAAAACCCAATACATAGTAATGTATGAATGTTACAGCAGTTAACTAAAAGCACTGATGATTCTTAAGCTAGTTTTTCTTTAGGAAAAATTAAAATCAAGATTGGTTTGTACCATACTTTTTTTAAAGATTGAAGAGTTATAATTCTAAAAATAAGTTTTTTCTTTTTCTTTCTTTTATAGTATATGTGATCTTATATTTTAAAAAAGTTTGTGGTATTTGTTATGATAAAACTTAATAGAGAGAAGTAATTGCTCCAGTATAAACATGGTTTTGTTATGAGAACTTTAGGAATTAATTTCTGAGGCTGGATGAATGAATTTCATGCACACATCTAAAGATGTCTCAGTAGTCATTGGGTCATAATTTTCTTTTAACTTTATACTAGTTTTAGAGAAGCTTAAATTCTATTTCTAACTTTCTCCTTAGTGTTGAATATATTAGAAAGAATTTAAATTGTGCTATGGTAGAGAGTTACAGAACTTAGTGCCATAAAATGCATAACTTTTTTACTAGGAGCAAAATTCAGCAGAATACCAGTAGCAAAGGCCATTTGCATAACTCAGCCGCTCAGCAGCTCAGCTGAACCTAATTGTAATTCAATTTCCAGATTGCTACGCTAGGCCTCTCTGCATAAAATATTCCACATATAACATAACCAATGGCATGGAGCTAGGAGCTATTTTCTTTGCTGGTGATCTATTTAATTTCTTTTCCATTAGAAGTATGTATCAGAATCAGGTAGCCAAGCCATATAGTTATTTTGTATGTTTATATTGTGTCACATGTGTATACTTAAGACCAAGTTAAAAAATGAAATCCTTTCATTTTTCTGGGTTCCCAAATGTGCCTAAGATTTCTTTTTATTTTTCATTTCTGGCATTTCAGAGGGAAATTAAATCTTAAAAAATGTTAGCTAGCTGCCATGTTATTTGACTATTTTACACTAGAAAGACTTTATAAGCTAATCATGTGAAAAAGTGTATAAACATGTCTGTCAAGTCCAGTATAGATGTTGCAATACAGGCCAACAAGTAAATATCTTCTAAATGTTTACAAAATGGGTGCTGAAATAACATTTCTAAATCTTTAACTAGTTTATATCTCAGAAACTTAAAAACAAAAACGTGCGATAAAATGCTTGCTTAAGATTCCCTTTATTTTTAAACAGCGTTACCACCCTGTTTTTATGGGTTATTTAAGCAATGGCAGTGAAAAGACTTGAATAGGATGGCTTATAAAGGTGTGGATTATATTTTATGAATAATTTCCAGATGTGATGTTTTAGATATATAGACTCCTCTATGGGAAGCTATATACAGAAACAACATGGATCTTACAATTTTATCAGGACAATGCAAGTAGATTTCAGCAAGGTTGGTTCCAACTCATCTGTGATAAATGAGAAGATAAGGCAATCAGTGCACACCATGACACTCTGTGCAGCTAGTTAGGCACACTTCAGAACTATTCAGGTGTGCTCACAAAGCTTATGAGTCTTGCATGGGGGGTATCTCAATATAAATACATCCTTCATGGTGGCCACTAGTAATGCAGGAATTGCCTCTGTAAGACTTAACCCAGGTCAGATATAAATAATAGATGTTAAGAGTTAGTTCTGGTATTGGGACTGTGTTCCAGGCAGTGCATTTTCAGTTGGGTCAAAAGAATTTATTTTCCCTTATTTTTTGCATAGTTCCTCTGCTTGAAAAATGCCTGCAAAATTCCATCACACCTTTGCGGGGACCAGTTTGGGTCTCTAAGGGAGAAGGTTTCAGCCCCTCAGGAGCTAAGATGTACATCCAAGGAGTTCTTTTGGCCTTGTACCAACGACTAAAGTCTGCAAAAAAATATTATACACAGGTGAGTCATCCCTCTTTAAAAATTGCTTTATTATGTGTTTTAAAATGTACTTGGTTGTATAGAGGTGATGATTGGCATTGTGTCATAAAAAAACGTGACATGTATTTTGTGAACTCAGTGCCCGTTAGGGAGCCAAAATGCTTCTTCTGTAATCTCAAAGCCAGCAATAATGGGGCTAATTGTATCTGTCTTTTGGTATGGGATGTCATATGTCTCATCTTTTCTTGCTGCATACTGTGCAAAGCGAAGGCAACTCCTTATGTGGAATTTCTATAGACAGTTACTTTAAGCAAGAAAATGAATAGCTCCTAAATCATTTGAAGGTTTAAATGCTCAGTCTTTTTTTCTTTTTTTCTTTTTTAGTATGAAATCAGAATTGCTATTGTAGAAGGTGGGCTAAAATGTAAACAAGTCACATTCTGGGAAATGAAATTGTGAATTAACTTCTTGTCAAGACTAACTCACTTCATTTATGCTTATTTAACTTGTATGTTTAGAAAGTAATCAGGTTAAGCTTAATTGTGTCTTTTAATTTTTAAGTATCCTTTCCATAACTGTGAGTTGTGTGTGTGTGTGTAAAGATTTTGATATTTTTATAAGGATATATAGGGACTTTATCTTAAAGTGGAACTAAAATTACAAAGCAGAATGACTGATGGCCATTTATAAAATAAAAACAGAGTTGCCACATTTTTAGAATCCCCTTTGCACTTGGTCTTAAGAAGTTAAACATATATTTTACCATGTTAAATAAAGTCTAGGTTTTGCATTTCTAACTATGAGGTTCCAATTTAGGAGGGGGCTCATTATTTCAGGCCACAAGCCACTGAAAAATGGATATTTTGAAAACATCACGCTATTATTCTCTGTGTGCTGGGGGAGGGGAGAGAGGCATGGGATGTGGTCTCAGTGTTCACACAGCACCTCCTGCTGTCTTTTTGGAAAAGGACAATTTGTATTGACGAGAAGAAATTCTTGAACTAAGGTGTCCAGAACTAGCAAGATATATCTTCCCATGACAAACTTTTATTCTCAAAATGTGATTATTTCCTTAGTTAATTAATCTTGGTGGATCCAGAAGTGGGATTAATAATTATTGTAGATAAGGCTACTTATAATAATAAATATGAAAAGTAAAAATTCAAACTTATTTTTAAATTTTTTATTAACCCAGTATCATATATAAAAACTGGTACAAATATTATACAATTTATTATTATTTTGGTCAAATTATTCAAATTGAAATATTAGTTAACTTTTAAGATATAAGGATCTTATAAAATAGATGACCAATTTAATTATAATCATTTATTTGGTATTAAATGGTTTGATTCTACTTATTAGACAGTTTAAAATTTTTTGATGTTTAAAAAAGAGATCATTCTCTAGTACAAGAGAAACACTGTTTAAATCAAATCTTAAAAAACTTAAACATTTTTTAAGTTTTATTAAAAGTGAGGATGTTAGAGATAAGAAACTGCTCAGAAAGTAATTATGGCTTGTTTTTTATTCCATTGTCCTAAACATGTAAAATTGAAATAGATACATACAGTTGAACTAGATTGAAAAGAGTTCTGTATATTGTGAAAAAAGAAAGCATTTCAAGAGTTACTGCTTTGATTTTAAAGGTTTCTTTAGGACTCAAAATTGATGAAAAGTACATTTGAACAAAATATGAACAAAAATTAACATTTTTAGCATCTTTGAAGTTGTCTATCATCCACACTATGCCAGATTTGGGAATATTTAAAAACCTAGGCTCTTTGCCATTCCTAACTAAACCTTTTACTTTTGTTAAATTGTAATAACTTAAACATTTGCACTCAACAGTTTTAATATGATGCTTGTTTAGGTTTATTTTAAAATATTAAAACGAAGAAAAAGAAATAGAAATTTACCTGTTATGCATTTCCATGCAAATTTCTATTTCTTTTAGATATGCTCAATTCTAGGTATTCTTGAGTCTCTTTTGTATTGTTATATCATGATTTCATTTAAAATTATTTGCAATGTTTAGAAAAGTCACTGTAGCTGTACCATTGTCAGGTCATCAGTAGCTAAGTGTTAAGCCTGGCAATTATTTTAACATTAGTAGGACTTCTTAGCAAATATCCTTTTTAGCACTAATGAACTTTATTTGAACTGCATTTATTTCATTTGACCTTAGAGATAGGCTTTTCTATTTAGTTTTATATAGGATCATGTTGAGGAATCAGGTAAAATGGAGATGGGTAATGATTCCTACTTCCTTAACAAATCTAAGCTTATAAATTATAGAATTAGATGAACTCTTGATATTATTTCCATTGATTTCACTTCTGAGATTATATATAAAAACACTAATATTGTTTTGCTGGGATTCTGTCAAAGAAAATTTCTTTCAATCTTTAAATTGGATGTCTTGGGATTCCCAAAGGGCATTTCTTTTAAATAAACTGATAAAATACCACTAAAAGGAAAGTCAGAACTACTGGTTTTATGTTTATAGACTTACTCATTTTTCAATTTCTAACTCTAACTTGGCTATTATAGCATGCAACCGAATTAAGCCCACTGCATTAGTGTGGTCTTAAAAGTATACTGATTCATGTATATAAAATGAGATACTATATTTAGGACAGCATAAAGTTACTTAGTCTTACATTTATCACATTTATTTCCTTAAAAGTGAAACATCTTAGAAATTGCCCAGAGCTAAGCAGAATCTATTTAATTGGTAATCTTTGAAGTAGCATAAACGCATTCCTATGAAATGCAGTTAACACTTTCAGCGACAGGGACTGTTCCATCTCATTAGCATTCTTGTTAAGTAGTGGTGCTGTTGGTGGGGGTGTTGAAGTAGGAATGCCATTGTGTCGAGTTCCAGTGTTTGGGGACAAACACTGCTGTGGAAGGAACGTGTGAAAAGGCCACAGTCCTGTCAGTGAATGAGGAAGGCTGTGCTTTCTGTGTGCTTCAAGCAGGGAAGCTGTCATTCATAGGCCTAACATGGCTAAACAGAGGCCAAAACACAAGCCTGCACTACCTTTTAAAATGATATTAGTGATTTTTAAACATGATCGTCTTTATTTATGATCCTACATAGAGCTTTTCGTTGCTGTCAGTAAACAAAATATATGTCAGTCTCTTCAGAAACACTGTAGAGATACATAAAAGTCCATGGAACTGTGCCAGGAGGCTATACAAATAATGATTTGGAATGACTGATCTTAAGTACAAACGTGATCTTTAGGAAATGTCCATTGCTGGAAATGTCTTCTCAATTTTGATACTACTTTGAATTTTTTTCCTCCAGTCAACAAAATTCCTGTATACATTTAAATAATGAGTGCATTGCAGTCTTCTTTGAAAATAGTTTCTAAAAGAACTCATAAACATACAGCTTTAATCATTTAAAGTGGTTCACAGGATGGTTTAACAGTTGTTATTGATTGCATAGCCATTTTTGAAATTCAAAGAGAAACAAAGGAGATGAGTATCTAACTGTAATATCTTAACAACCACCATCTTAATTATGAAGAATATCATAGTCTCTGTGATATTTAAGATATGAAAAAATTTGAAGGAAATTTTTTTATTTTATTCCTAACTTTCAGCACTTTGGAAAGAAATGATCATCTTGGAAATTTAATTTTACCTTGTTGATTACTTAAAAACAAGAAATAAGAAAAATACACCCAAATATATCTTGAACTCTTGGAGCATTTTCTAAACTTAAAAAAAAAAAACAAACCTGACGATTTCTACTTATGTCTGAAGCTGCAGGGAAGTGTTTTATTTCTGTAATTTTAATTTTGAAATATGTACTTGGGCTATTTGTAATAGACCCTTACTTAATGAAGTTTGTTGAAAACTATAATTTTCTGCCTGAGTGATTCAAGTTTTTTTGGTATATAGTTCTTTTTATTTATTAATTTAAGTAAGGTACATTTTAAAATGCTATTATATGCTACTTCTAAATGTTCTATATTTGATGTGTTGGGTTTAAGAATCTCAGATACTAACTCTCTATTTCAAAAATTAGGTTTCACTTTTTAAACTAGAATTGTACTATGACTTTATTGTACTATAACTTTATGTAATTAGGTGAGGAAATGAACTTCCAACTTCAGCATGTATTGGTTTTGCAGTTTAAAACTGAAATGTATTTTATTATTACATTGAACTAATCTTTATGTAAGCTCTAGATTTTAAAAATTTTTTCTAAGTTAATGTTGGTTCACTTTATCCATGCTCTTAATAAGTTTGATACTTAGCAAACCAATAATAATAATAATATAGTTTTATTCAGAAAAGATTCAGTTCAAAGTATGCTTGAATTATATTTAGTGCTGACAGAATATGTCACTTGCAAAAAGTGTTCTTAAAGGAATGCTAATATTTTAATTTTCCATAAAAGAATTATTAGAAGTTTATTTTTTATATCTTATATATTAAGTCAAAGTCATTTATTAGTCTTACCACAATTGAAGAAGTAACTATTTCTATTTCATTTTTTATATATACTTTATTTTTGATAAGCCAGCTACTTTTCCTCCCCACTTTATTGAGATATAATTGACATATAACATTATGTAAGTTTAAGGTCTATAACATGATGCTTGGATACACTTAAATATTATAAAATGATTACCATAATAGGGTTAGTTAATACCTCTATCATCTCACATAATTGTCATTTCTCTTTTGTGGCGAGAACATTGAAGATCTATTCTCTTAACAAATTTCAAGTATGTAATATAGTATTGTTAACTGTACTCACTTTCTGTACATTAGAGTCCCAGATATATATACATTAAAAAATTGTGCTATTTCCTTGATTTAACCTTCATGAGGCAATACCCAAAATAGTTCAGTTTGAACTTCTTGATGTCTTTTGAAAGCTTGGAATGAAATTTATAACATATAAATATAACTTACTATTAAACACATTAAAATTGTGTTGCAGATATTTCAAGTAGTTTGAAAACTACTTCTGAGGGTTCTGATAGGTAATGTTTTAGAATTTTATGTTGCTTGTAGATTTGAATGATGGATGATTTTTTTCTTTCCCTGAAACCAAGCTGCATTCTAGTTACTTGAAGTATTTTAAGAACCTTAAACTTGTGTCTTTTTCTAAGTGTCATGCTTTGAGCAGGCCTAACATCAGTTAAATGAAGTGAAAATTGCATTCTTGTCTTGATAGAGATGAAAATGGATTTCTGGTCATGAAATAGATGTAGTTGTCACTTTTTAAAAAAGGTGTCAGCAGTTTGCTTCAGTGAGTAAGGTGCCAATTCAGTATGGCAGTAAACTTGTGATCTGAGCAATCAATAAAATGCTTCAATAACTTCTGCTTCATTACACTTATAATAAGAGGCTATAGATCCATGGCACATAAAATGTTGATAAAGAGGATATGTGGGGACTGACTGTGACAATTTTCTTGAAAGTACAGT